TTGAGAGCTGTACCGACCAGATGCCTAGATATTTAGTCAACGAGCGCAATAATTTTCCCTGATATAAGCTCTATTTCATAGTCAATTGGCAATAAATATAAACGTTCGACCCATCTTACTGAATGAGTTTGAGCCTTTTTTGTATCTTTTCATCTGAATTACATGTTAACAACGTTTTGTGGTCAGGTGCAATCTTAAATGGAGCCCCAAACTGATAGTTTTGATTGTGAAGTTCAGACGAAAGGACGTCTAGCAGTCACTTTTCGTTTAAGCTATATTTTGATTCGGCTGCATTTAAATTCTGGACGCGTGCGATACTGGTTTCCAATCCCCGGCTTGTAATTGTTCCAGAACCCACCCTAGAACTTGTTTCGATGCGTCACAATTCACTCGCTACTTTCATTCCCATTGATTTGATGATTCTGAACAAAAGCACTGACCATTTCTCTGGTTTTAGGAAACACCCTACTTTGTGCATCCTCCAATTCAAAACGGGAATGTTTTATCATGGGATCCCGAATTGGTTCTTTAGTAGCAGGTATATTAGAGATAAATCGAATAAATTGAATAATTGACCCTACTAACAATCAAATATCTAGGGCTGTTTCGTTTTAGCAATCGATTTTTTCGCTCAACTGGAACTGTAACTTCATTCGAAAGTTTATAACCCAACCACTCAATTTCTTTCTGAGAAAAAGTACATTTACTTGCAAAAAAAGTACATTTTGCAGCGGCATTGTTTTCATCCAACACATTGAAAACATTTCTATCTTATCGAATATCGTCCAGGTAGACATGCAATCCCGGGAAATGGCCTTGCATTGAGTCGATAACTCTTTGAAATTTATTAGGCATATCACCTTATCCGAAAAACCGGTCCTAAAGCAATTTTTGTTTGTTATGTTCCCCCGACGATGTTGAAACAGCACAGTCTACTAAATTTTGCGCTCTGCTGCATATGCGAAATTGCGTTTTGCGAAATTGCGTTTTTCAAGTTGAATTTACAGAACCAATTTGAGTTAGCAGTATTACCGCTAGTCGCTAATTTAACCCTGCCCACGAGTTCAATCATGCTCGGCGTTTGATACCGATACCGATATATCTTTCTATTTATGAGTTTCGAGTTTAGGGCCACTTTCAACGTTCCGTCATTTGTAGCTGTAACGACCGTTGGTAGTATAAAGACATCCTCGTTTACTTGCCTAGTTTTTCGATGTACCCTTCCTTCAACAATATTTCTATCGCTGCCTCAACCTTTGATAAAACGTGGATCGGCACCCATTTTCCCTTAACTTGGACGGGACGCAACGGTTCGTGGAAATGCGTTCTTGCACCGCATTTTTTAAGTGCGCTTTTTCGTTCGAAGAGGACTTTGAACTCCCTCAAAATACATTTGATGTACTTTCGTTATACTGGCAAGTCTTGAATTTCTGATGTACTCTCCATCCCACTAACGTCGTGAAATGACCGCGTCACAGACTTCTGCCTCACTTCAATGCCGAGTACTGTTAAGATAATATTCCCAATTTTTTCTCCTTGACGGCCCTCAAAGTATGTAGTTCAGTTCCTTTGGCGATCCAGACTTCGGACTCAAAATCCGCAAAAATGCTTCAAATAATCTTGATGACGTCATCCGTCGCCTTTTAGAAAAAGCAGCATATCTCGGCTGGTACTGATTTTACTGTAAAAAATCTATCCTTTATCTTCAGCTCATGTAATTTTCCTAGCACAATCTATCTAGAACTCAGTGCGCAAGTGGCTTTTGCCCACTTTGACGTCCAATAATTTCCTGTTTTCATCACCATGTGGATTGCGATTACCCTAAATTCTTCTTCGTTGACATCGTTATCGAAGCAATGTATCAAATTAGTCTTATACCGAGTAAAAACGCTAGTAACATCAATAGGGTTAAACCCCGTTTTATGCAATGTTTTGCGAAGTATGTGCAACCCCGCAGTTGTTACAGATATTGCTTTGAGCTGGACAATTCTCTCACTGGTTAGGTTTTAACCAGTTCCCACAGATAAGAAAATTATTAACACTTCGCCCTTTGATTTCATTTGCTGTTTTTTTTTTAAAAAGACCCAGCCTGTTAACCATCTGTCGAGTTTTGCCAGCCTTGATTGATCCTATTTCTGAGTGATTTTGGGAGCCCTCGGTCAACTCGATTATACGGCACTTCACGCCTTTCCCTTGCCACTGCAAAGTGCAATGCGTCTTCTGCTGAAAGTGTTTCCATACACAACTGCTTGCGATGATCTTCGTTTCTCATATTAAACATGAACAAAACTCATACAATTGAATCTTCCTTCTTGCCGAAGTCACGCCCTCAGTTCAAATAACTCTGCGCTCCGAAGAATTGTTCCATTCCTTCTGCTTCTCATTGCTTCCTCCTAAATAAGGCGAATCGCCGACTTGTAATGTTCTGTTCCTATAGAATGTATCCACCGATAGCTTCCACAGTTCAGTGAAGTCGATGTCTGCCATATTCTGTCTTGAATGGTTTTGATCGAAATACCGCTGTTCGTGTTTTTCCAATGATAGCAAAAGTTTTGATTTCAGCCTCTCATCCGCTTCACCACGGTTATTTCTTTTGAATAGACGTTTTTTCTTTCTCGATTTGACGGTTTTCCTCGTCCCACCACGCTGCAGTAGCTGCGTTATTCCGGACTTCCCTTTCGTTGCGAGGCGCATTATCCACTGCTCTTACTGGTTCTTTCAGCATATGATAAGGAATTTCCGGGAGAACAATTTCAGCCATCAGGTCTTTTATGTATATTTCTTCCTTTGCGATTACTATGAAATGGAACCGTTGGCCCTAATCTTCAGGATAGCGATGCAGGGTTCCAGAATACAAATAGGCCGCTTAAGCGCGATTCTAACGATTCTAATGCTGACTTCGCCATGTCAAAGTAACTTCGTTGTTCCAATTTTAGGAAAAACGTAAGAGAACAGCAAAAAAGTAGAACAGGTTAAATTGAGAGATTTTTCTACCTAGTGTTTATAGAGTTCATAGAGCCAATTCAAACATTATCTAAAATTTCAAGCAACAATAAAGTAACAGAAGGTGTATAGATTTCTGCATGCAATCGAGTAACTGCCAATTAACGAGCCCGAAAATTCGTTAAATAAATACGTTCAGTTTCTTCTACCAAAAGCTACTGTGTTATAGCTTTAAAAAAATTTATCGTACAACGTCTAATTTTTTCGAAATAATTCTGATCTTGAGACAGTGAAATGGCGTTATAACTGCAATCGAAGTATCAAAGCTGCATTCGAAATGACAAAAGAGCAACGCAAAAAGATCGCGCTTTTTCGGAAAACTTCATCCCTTTTTTCAGAAGCACAATTCAAATTTTTTTTCAATCAACAACGAATTGCCATTCATCTTTTCAGAGCAAAAAAAAACAAAATATCGACAAAAGGGCAAAGAAAAACTTCAAAAAAATTTTCCGAAACAGTTTAATTTTGAAAATCAGAATTATTTAAGAAATTTGAAAATTTGCAACCATGAAAATTTTTGCGAAATATTACGAGGCCAAAGTGTACATTTTTTGAGTTGCAAGCGGCTTCCGGGACGCTCTCTTTGATCTTCTTTTCCTCGTTTGTTTTCTTTGATCGTTCCGATAAATTTTTTAACTTTTTAAGGCTTGTCTCCGGATTCTATAGACTTTATAAACACCAAAATTGTGCGCTTCCAGTGCACAGTTTGGCCTGGCAACAAAAAAATGTTTTTTTTTTGTTAATTCCTGAAAAGCTTTGGAGTGACATTGAGTTTTGTAAAGATAACTTTGAACTATTATTCTATAACTTGGTTCATCTGATAAGAGAAATTGGGCGTTTAGCTTCATCTCGGATCTCATTTTTCTATATTGTTTATTGAAATCATGAAGCTTGAAGTTTTTAAGTTAAATTTTTTTTGTACTTCAGTAAACTTATATAAAGACTAATATAAAAAATTTTGTTACCCTAAATATTTTCTCCATAATTACACTAAGAAGACTTTTGTTAGCATATGATACAGTTTAAATTTTCCTGCATTTTGCAGTTTTTCTTGAAGAAAATTATAAGCAAGAATAGATCAAGAGCGGAACCCTGGGAAACAACACGCATCATTTTTTGAAAATGTTTTGAATGTTTTTATTAAAAAAAATAGTTTCAAGTTACCGAGATAATTACGATTAACTGTAGCATTCGATGTCTGAATCTGGAATAATTATTTTCTTCAGGCAAGGTATTTATTCATCCGTATTAAACACTTTCGTCCGTTCTGAAAGAGTGCATTGAGTCAATACTGATTGGTAATAGAAGCATTCTTTGCATTCTTATCGTTGCAACAAAATTGCGGAAGATTAATCCCTAGTGTAAAAAAGTGGGAAAAGATTGTTCCCTAGTGTTTCCAAAGCCAAGTGTTTCGTTGCTAAATTACAAAACATTCAAATAAACTCAAAACTCCATTATAAACCAGAGTGTTTTTTTTTTGAGAAAAATTGCAATTAAATAGCGCAATAGCTACTTCGATGGATAAAAGTTTTCTCTCTTTCCATACAGTGTGGCTTTGTTTTTTTTCAAATAAAAACAAATATGAACGAAACTGTTGTTAAAATATTTCCAAAAAACATGAGTATTTTGGGTCGGGCATATTTAACTGATTAGATTGTTATTTTTGGTTTCTGGGCCACAAGCCTTTGCCATACATCCTTCTGGCGGGCTGGCTTTGTTGTTGTATTCACACCTTCAAACTTGAAGTCAGACAACATAGAACTAATAATCAACATAACGATCCAAAGTACTGAAACAACACAAAAATTCGTTCAATTATTTCTGATGTATAAAAAAAAAGGTTGAAAAAATAATTGTAGTAAGGTTTTCTCACAAAGTTCCGCTAAAAGCGGCAAGGGAAACTATTTTAAAATGATCTTAAGTTATTATTTTGATTGAAACACTCGGTTTTGTTGAATAATATGAACTGGGTGATAGATAGTCTGCTATGTACTCACAAATAGTCGGCTCCCTTTTCCAGAAGAATGCGGAATATCTCCGGACAACTGTAGCTGGCTGCCAACATCAAAGGAGTCGCACCCTGGCCATCTTTGCACTGGCAGGAAAAGCAAAAAAATAAAAAAGAAGCAATTGTAGGAAAAACTTTTGAAGATGCCCGATTGACCTCTCCACAAAAAACTTCTAATTCTATTTTTTCATTGAGTGTGTGAACAAATGCAAATCATTAACATTCTAAAATCTGTTGAAAGACTTTTAAGACAAAGTTTTTGTCTAGTCTACGGTTTTGAAGCCATCTGGTCAATTTAAAAAATGATTTCAAGTTTTTTGGATGAAAAAATGCCTATCATACCGGTTTTTATAAAAGTTTCTCTTCAAAAGAATTAGTAGAAAATTAACCCAAGGATGTGTTTTCCATATAGAAATATGTGAGAGTAAAAAACTCTACAATTTTTTTTATAGAACATGTATTTTGCAAGCTAAAAAAACTAATAAAAGCCTCGAAGAATGTAAATACTGCAATGATCCTATTCATAGTTTCTAAGTGATTAAAAAGGCGCAAGATTTAACAAGACTTTTTTTTCCTCGAAATAAGTATCATAGAAAAACAAAGTATTATTATTCACAGGAACAAAAAAAAAACAAAAAAATCTTTGCAAAAAACCATAAGGACTATCATAATGAATGATAACTATCAGCCTATTATTAGACGCCTACTATAGGCCAGATCGCTCATTTCACTGTTCCAAATTCAGGTTTTGAAATCAAAAATTTCAATAGATTTTTCTAATGAAATGTGAGCACATTTTTGATTCTCGTCCAAAAAAGTTCAAATCACAAATGAAAGTGTAATATTACTCGATACATTCCAACGACTGTTTGTGACAACTGATTTTGCATTTGGCGTGGAAAACAAACAAAAACTACAAAACACTCCTCGCTCTCAGTGGACGAAACCAATATTTGCAGTTCTTTAAGTTATTAAGGACGACCCAGTCATGAATCGCAATTTGCCAAAAAGATCATATAACTACAAACAACTCCGAGTGCACGAAAACTCTTAAGCTTAATCAGCGTCCATCAAACTGTACGAGCTGGCTTACTCTTTACGTAAATTTTTAAAATTTGTGCGTTACAAATTGAAAGATCACAAGTCACCAACCGTAAAAAAAAACTTTCGCGGGAGGTGACAGTTTCTGAAAAAAAGAGTTATTTTAAAAACTTTTTCTCAAGGCAAAGAAATTGATTTTCCGAGATCTCCCAAAAAAATTACTAGCTGGTTTGAGGTCCTCGACTTATACCCTGACTATAAAAATAGCGCCTCGTCCGATAGGAGAACTATTTTTCATAGTCATGTGACTAGACTTTAAGTCGGAAAAGTTTTGACATACACGCACTGACAAGAATGTTTGAAGATAGATTTATAACCACCCGCATCCAGTTTCAAGCGTTAATAATCGATTATAAAATGATTTTAGTACCATTCTTACAAAACTTGAGAACAAATTGATTTTAATCAAATAATAAGCGAATATGATCTCTCTTTTTGGAATCAAATTTAATCAATCATAATACATTATAACCGATTTTTTATCTAAAAAATTCTAACTTATTTGTTTTGCAGAAAAACTCCATTATATACGATTATAATTGTTTATAATCCCTTTTATTTACCCATTTTGTCTTCGAACTTTCTTCTGATTTGCAATAATTTTATGTTTTTTGTAGATGTAAGCTTAAAAAATGGAAAAATTGTTTTGACAGTTTTCAAAGCATTTCAAATTTATGACGATTTTGTTTCATTTCTTTTTGATCATAATTGTTTCTTGATGCACATATTTAAGTTTCTTTGACCACCAAAATATCAGCACACTGTTTTATGGAAGACTTGTCTTCGCCCTACCGCGGGATTCTTTCAACTAATATGAAGGGATCTCTATGAAACAAGACATCTCAAATGTAAGGATTTTTGACAAAAAAGATTATAATATCATATATTAGGTTATAATTGATTATAAGAGAATATACGAGATTACAAGAAATTCTAACAGATTATAAGAGCCTTTCTGAAAAATAATAATCAACTATAATTTATTATAATGTCATCAATATAATGGGATACAAAATGTTATCATTATAATGGATAATAAGTCGTTTAAACAACTAAATTTGGCGCTGATAATTAATTATAATTGTGATTAAAGTACAAATCTAATTGTAGTATAACCGATTATTTTCTCGTTTTTCTGAGTGCGGAAATTTCGATTGGTTTTCGGTCAATCCTGAAAAGTACCTGAAAATCAAATTAAATTGGTTTGAATGAATTTGTAGCTAGCAGAACTCCATCTGAACCTCGCCAGTATCGACTGACAAGTTGATTTTTGAGGATTCTGAAAATATCAATGGTGTATTCAACCGAAAAATGTGCCCATTCTAAATCGATTTACGTACCTAAAAAGGCCACAGTAAATCGATTTTTATATTGTATATTATGTTTAAAAAGAGTCAAACATTGCCTTTTTACTATGAGGATTTATTTGTGAACTTCATAACACTTACATTGATGTCGGCATTGCAGGCAATCAAGTCCCTGACCGCTGCAACATTGGCTTTGTAACTGGCCATGTGCAAGGCAGTCGACCCATACTTATCTTTGGCATTCACCTTAACAACTGGCTTGGCCTCCTTGGCAAACAGAAAAATCAACTTCCGCTGATTGTCTTCTTCATCTTTCAGCACCTGCGTAAAACACAGAAACCCGGTTTGAATCCAGCTCTGGTCGAGTATTATACTTTCTTTTAAAGTTTCGTAATCGAACTCCAATTCATAATTTCTGTTTCTGGCTATAACTGCAATATTTTTTGCTATGCGATTATTCCAGCATAACGTCGTGTCTTCATAATAATTTTTTTCTAGTTAAGGCTCTTCGAAAAATAAGTACAAACTAGATGGCGAAACTGCTTCAACCAGCTAGTGAATTTTACAAATATTCCGAGTCGAAATTTCAGGCCCAAATTTTTAATCAAATTTTTAGTGGATCGAAAAATTTTTAAGACGATTGCGCTCAAAATGTTGCTTCAAAATGAGCAATTTGAGCTGTTTTTGTGCAGTTTTTCAAGCGAGAATCTGCTTTCAACTGCTTCAGATCCTTCTAATGTTGGGCCAGTGCTTTTGAGAGGGATCTGGACCCGTGATTGCAACTAACATAGGCGATCTTGTTAAGTGCACTGAAAGCATTAGGGGTCAAATTCGAAGTCTTCTTCTTTTCCTGGTTCAGCTCAGAAGCCCCCCCGCCTCCCCCTCCCAAGTCCGAGTTAAGGTTGTTTGCAGATTGAGACGAGGGCACAGTCGTGTTTCCTGTTTTGAACTTGCGGTACACAGCACAGTAGTGGAGGGGTGTGGTCTCGTTGTAGCCAATCACTTGCACAGCTACAAAAAATTGCTACTTTGAATAACAACAATCATAATTATCGTAATGATGATAATCCTAATCATAATATGCCATTTCACAATCAAATTAGAAACAAGGAAATTTTCGACAAAAACATCGCCTGAGAGAAAATCATAAGACTAACATTTAGCCTCTTTTCAGGCACCTTGTAAACAAGTTCAAGCCAGAAGCCATATCAGTCAGCAAAAAAAGCGGGTGGGAAACTTTACTAATTTCTTTTTCTATTAAAAAAAACTTTTTTCACGAAAGTTAAATCTTAATTCATAACATGTCACTTTGAAACGAAATAAGAAAAATGGAAAAACTGGAAAAGAGCTGCAAAAAAAGATATCTTTGTTCTATACATTTTCCAATTGCGATAAATTTGTTCGAAACATTATGTACAGCTTGCATTGCAACTAGCTACTATTTTCTTTAATTTTTTTCATCGTTAGAATTATTTTTTAGTAAGTTTTCTTTAAAATAATCTAAGAAAAATTAAAGAACTAGCCTTAGGCCGACTGCTTTTATAGTGTGAGAGAGATAAAAAAATCCTGAAGTCAGTTTTCATTCTTCCCGGATTGAAGTTCCCCCGTTAAGCATAGCTGTCTGTCGCTATATCCAATTAAAACTACTTTTATCACTGTTATAGTTACGACTTTCGAAGAAAGTGGGGAATTTTTATACTTGGTGTGGTTTTTTTATTGAGTCAGCTTTCGACTTGTTAGCTAAGCGTTTTTGACGGAGATTTTTTTTATCCCATCTGAGAGATATTGTTATCCTAAACTCAAATTTAAACAGATATTTCAGCTGTGATCGTTTTTCGTAAAGCTAGTTGCGTTTGAAAGTTGCTAATCTAACCGAATTAGGATAATTAAACTGCGATATATTGCGTACTTATAACACGCGTATGAAGCGAATTAATGCGTTTTAAATTAAATTGAGGCCAGAAATGTAATCTTTTTATCACAATACGAGACGCCATATACATTATTAGTTTTTTTACAATTAAATGGGGGATGAAATGAAGAAACAATAGAAAAAATTCTTTTCTCTCAAATTTTTTGTCAATTATTCAACCAAAAAAATAACGTTTCAATTAGCCTTGAAAGCAGTCGGAATTTTCAGGGCTATGCCCTGATTTACGAGCGGTTTTTTTTCAAATTGAAATAACTTCAAATAAAAAACGATGCATACAAAATTGTTGAGAGTTTATGCAGAAACTAAACAGTGCTTTCCCACATTGACACGGGTAAAATCATTGAAATATAAACTGAGCATAGGTCATACGTAATTTACATTCGTATTGTCTGTAGAACCAACAAAATTTCTCGCCGAACAAAACGATTTTCACGCTTTGTGTAACCACGCATTTAAAAAAAAAGAACTGAGATCGATTTTAAAATCAAAAAAGTCGTAGATCAAATTGAGATCGATTTTGGATTTAAAAAATATGTAGATTAAACAGAAAGGATTGAGATTGGTTTCAAATTGATTTCAATTGATCTTAAACTCAAGCTAAAAAAAGTTATCGAAAAAGATTTTATACCGACTTAAATCCCTCTGTTTGAGTGTTTATTTTGCTTTTTTTTCTCAATTTTATGCGAGTTTTATTGCATTTACTCATTGCTTATCTTTTTTGAAATACTCATTTCTACGTGAAATATTTCTACGCGAAAAAGCTGTTACCAAAAAGTATATGCAACAAAAAAGCTAGTATAAGTAAAACTAAATACTTATCATCTTTCGGTCTAGGAGTGGCACCTAAACAACATACCAACGAATGTAGGCTAGCAATGTCTTAGGCATCAAGGTTCCTTAACTCACTAGAAGAGAAAAATTTGGCAAACGAACTTGAATTACTAGAGGTAGTTTGGTCAATCAAGCATTTTTATTTATACCGCCATCACACACCATGAAATTTTAATCAGTGCCTTAAAAGCGAGCAAAAGGCTAGTCAAAAACTTGTCAAAATACAAGATGGATCAACCAAAAAAAACTCTTTCAAACTCGACATTAAACATTTGGCTGGAAAAAAAATGGGTTTAGGAGACTACAGGTTGCGGAACTCAAGTGGATTGACAAAGTATCCAAGCCATTGAGACGAGGAGTTCGCGGTGGCGTCATTTAAAAGTTTCATAGCCAATCTTGAGATGATTGACTACCTACTTCAAAAGAAACTAGTCAATCAAAAGCGAGCACCAAATACGCTGATCAAAGAGGCGTGGAGAGTGAAAAAATACTAACAAGTCAAACTAACGATCAAGTGCCTATCAAATATTCCAAACAGTTAGAAAGCGGGCAATAAATGAGACCAGGGTCAGCTCACTCAATCAATCAAAAAACCACACATCACAAAATACTCACAAACATAAAATTTATCAATCTAGATCAAACGCATAAACACAAAGAGAAAAAGAAAAAAGAACGAGACGACGAAATAACTAGGAAGGTTTTAAGTGTTGTTTATCCCGGAAGTAATAGCGGCAGCCCAGGAGAAAACAAAAATAACAAAAAAGGTAAAGGAATCGGACCGCGAATTATCAGACCCGCGCTGACATCGAAGGAAAATGACAACAAGAACGAACGATTGTTGGATTCCAAGAGCAAAAAAACACCAATACCTACGGATCAAAAAGCACATCGTCGCCGGCTAAAATCAAAGACGCAAGAGATGTGATAACGGGACTATCAGAGAAAATAATCTTTCCAGAAAAATGTGTTCAGCGAAAACATTACGAGCCAAACGGACCCGAGCTAAACAACTGAAAGAGAAACACAGAACAAACTGGCGACAACCAAAGGAAATGAACGATGCCGCAAACGGACGCAACAAAAAACCACAGACCACAAACACAACACCAACCGAACCATTAAACACCATTAAGAGAGGCGGACACTTTAACCGAGCTATCGATAGAAGTACACGAAGTGTAAGTATGAGTACTGTGTGTGCCGCGTAGACTTGATACACTAAAGGCAGGATGAGATACTACCATACGCAGAGCAACCGACATATTGGCTGAGCTCCAGAGATACACAATAACATCAAATTCAACTAGAGGCAAGCCACGAATGAAACAGGAGACAAACCGTGAGCCAGGAGATAAACGAAGAAATAAAAGAGGACTCGCCCCTTTATCGAAAAAGTTTGCAAAATGTTTGAGGGTTTCAGTTCATCGCCACCGCCCCATAAAAAGAGAGAAACAAGCGACCATTAATAAATTTCGTGCGAAAAAGTGACTGAGATGCGTTAAAAAGCTCAAACGCCAGTATTGATACAATATTCGCAACCAATTGCATGTGACTGAGGACTGCCTCCAAATTGACAGGGGAATCGTCCTCCAGACTCAACTCAGACAAACAGTACTGTATTAAATCCATCTCACTCACCCCGGATTACAGGCGATGCTGGATCTCTGTCAAAACATCTGGTTCCCGCATATACACCGCACGATAGTACAAATGTCACAGGAATGCCGACAGTGTACCGAACAAGGTAAGCATTTGTAACCGCATATACAGTAATCGGAAACCAACAGTCACTCCAATTGGAACCAGTAGTTGGACCACATGAGGAGGTTCAACTAGATTTCACAGGACCCCTCCGAGATGAGTTAAATAAGGATTTTTACTTTTTGGTTGCTATAGATAAATGTTCAAAACTCCCCACGGCTAAGATTGTGTCTGACACAACGACAGAAATTTCCATTAAAATTTTGCAACGCTACATTTCAAACAATGGGGTAATTCGTAAACTAGGTTGTGACCAGGCACAAAAGTTAAGAGCTGAAAAAATTTAAATTTTTTGTAAATCAAACATCATAAAAATTTTTTTTGCACCTGTTGACAATTATAGATCAATCAGATTAGCAGAAAGATTGATACAAACAGTTAAGCGTAGACTAGGGTTTATGAGTGAATACATTGTTTAAATTATTATCGGATGTCGCAGAAATTATAAAATTGCTCCGTATTAGGCCACAGTAACAAAAATTTTACCGTTTGAGGCCCACTTGGGATACAAAGCAAACACACTTTTCTCAGACAAAGCAATAAATAATACACCGAACAAATTTAGTTGAAAAAATACCAAACACGCATATTTTCATCGAAAAAAGTGATGCACACCCACTCCTACAACTTCCACAGACCAGTAGATCCAGAAAACAGGTGTGGAAACTAGACGGGCACTTACTATTGAAAAAGAAAATTCAACCCAAAGTACAAAATTGTTCAAGGAAAGAAAAACAATAAGAATAGCAACAAAAGTGAAATATTCAAAAAGATTTGAGCAAAATGTGAAACATTAGATGGCAAAATTCTGACATACACACCACGCACCGCGTGGATGCAAATATTAGGGAAACAACCGAGACTGCTAATAAACAGCGGGCTTGCTTTCATTTCTAACCCAATGATATATGGCCATGCAAATCTTCACGTTTAAATTCACGTGCAAATCTTTCCGCACGGAGAACGGGATGTTTTTTTGCGCTTTTTGGAATCTGAGGACCCAAACGCGCAAAAACGCCCAATGTTTTAGGAGGATACGTTATCAGGACTGCCAAAGAAGCTTACTAGAAAGAAGAAACCGGTTAAAGTGCAGCAACCAGAGAGCCCAAAAAAGTGAAAGGCGAAATCAACCGAAAATAGAAACAGAGGAAAATCACAAAGGACCCCTAGACAAGGCACGAATTTCCAGATGGAAGAGAAATTTCCAGAAACAACGGCCCAAACATCTAAACAACAGGCAGCAACAGAACAAACAACATCATCGACCGAAGAATGGCCTTCGACCTCAGAGAAAACTGCCCCATTGCCGAAAAAAACCTTCGAAAAAAGACACCGGAGATAGGAAAAACTATCGAGCCAACCTGGAAGTCAGTCCGGAATAGGCAGTCAACCATAGCCGGGCCACTTGGAAGGCCGATACCAATAAACACTATTGGGTACATTTAAATCAAAACACCGAGTAAACAATTCACAATAGAGTCACCAACAGATGGAACACCAACGGACGATAAACCAAAAATAAAAAACCCGTTAACATAATTGGAATTCAAAGAAAAATCGCCAGAATATCAAGCCTGTACAAGATTTCTTGAAACAAAAAAATTGAAAACCAGAGAAAAATCAGTCAAAGTGTTTGATTTGGTATCACCTAAAGGCAGCCCAAGGAAAAACGCAGATCAAAAACAAAAAAAGTTTTGAATAGTCAGCAACACGCAGAATCAAAAACTCGAGGAAGTAACAACAAGAAAGGAAGACGCAGACACACTTGAAGAGCACGAATGACAAAACCAGAAAGAAGATGAAGAAGGAGAGTGTAGCAAAATAAACACGGCTAAACAAAACACTATACCATGCATAGCAACCAGTCCCACGGGGGTTTAAAAACTCAAAACAGTCCCATAGGAATTCTGTAAACTCTAGTCCCACTTAGACCTATAACTCTTCAATTATAAGTTTTCCCAGGGGGAATGTCATCCGGTCCGGATTGGCAAACCAGAAATATTTATAATCTCACTGCGTCTAGAGATTTATACTAGTCAGTTGAACTTGTACGGAACAGCAAAAGAAACGGTGTGAAGCGAATACGATAAATAAATAGTTCACAAACCAGTTGTTTTTATTTGCGCTCCGAACCGACGGTTATAGTTTACCAATCCGATCGGATTCGATATTGCGAAAATATCATACCACACGGTATGACAGTAGTAAAATAAGTGATTTGAGTGTTAATAGCTGAACCTGGCTGCTCAAGATTTTGTCAGAAATTTCTTTACCGAGAACACCTCAAGATATCGCATCCTTAGCGATGAAATTTTCTATGATTTATACATAAATCAGCAATTGAAAACTCTTTTACTGGAATACTGCATAATAACAAATTCTGGAAAAATTTAATGACAAGTTTTGCGGATTCCATCAGGTTTTTGTGGTTTTTATAAAAAGTTTGTACGAAAAGTCAAACACATTCCAATTTTTTCAGATAACTGACAAAACAGATATGAATAGAGCTTACCAGATGTTAATAAAGCCGAAAGTACAAAAACCAGCCGAAGTGTAAGCCAACCGAAAAAGCTCGGAGTACATAAAACCAGCCGAAAAGTTACCCCAGATGAATGAAATCTGCATACTTTTCGTAACTGTAACCTAACTGTTGCATAACTATTCTATAGCACATTTTCGGGTGGTTCATATTTCGATTGGCTTTTATACCACTAATTAAGCCATACAATTATAACTCACATGCTCCATATTGCACGAGTATTTTGGCGCATTTGTAGTGGTTGTACTTGGCACACAGATGAAGTGGCGACAAGTCGTCCTCATCCAAGGCGTTGATCTTCTTCCGCATGTGTGGAATTCTGAGGAGGCGCAGCAACATCTCTGCGTCACCAGAACGACACACCTAAGCATGACACGACACCACTGTTCTCGTGGCAGTTCTCGACCCAAAAAACGGCCTCCCCTAGTCGATCAAGGGAGGTTATCTTGCAAGTTTCTTTTGAAGACGATGCAAGTCTAGAAGATCTTGCAAGATTACCTTACTAGATCGACTAGGGATGAGCCGCACAAATAATAAATCAGTCTACAGTATGAGGAAAAAATAGAAAGGGACTGGGCTTAAACAGGCCTGATATCTTTTCATAGAACCTTTGCGAATCGCAGAAACCTAAAATGTTATTCATTATGAACAGTCGAAGCATCCAATTAATTTAAAACTTTCAACCATTTTGAAACACCAAAAACTCAAAACGAAGCATCGAGCCTTTTTGTCCACATTTTAGAATCCTGATTTCTGATAGGCGCATAACTTTTATCAAATCCTTTTTTTTCATGATGTACTGCCCCTGACATGACGTGTTCTTATACATTTCTTATACACCCATTTCAATTCTCTTATCTACGCGTTTTTTTTTGAAGTTTTGAAGCCTGAAACTAAACTGTGATAGAACACCTTTCTCTATGAGATGGAAAAGACATAATTACGAAGCCCAACTGTGCACTGGATATGCGCACAGTTTTGTGTCTTTATGTCTTTGGATTCCAGAGACACATATTTGAACATGTTCCAAAATGTAAGTGGATTCCAATGAGTGTAAATATTGATTGCTGATTTTTTTTTGTTAAAATAGTGGTCTTTGGAGAGCAGATAAGTGCGTTTCAGGTGGTTAGTAATGTGTAATGAATGTTTAGTAATGATTTATTTAAATAAAGGTTGGTTTATGAATGAATAAATACCGTGTGCAAACTTTGATTGCCAATGTGTATGTTGAAGTTGTCGTTGAGATATTCGTTGCTCGCTTTAGAGAAGGAACTTTTTCGCACCTGAAACAAAAACAAGCGTTTGCCTTCCCTAATCTGGCAATTTTTAAACTAATGGAAGCTTTTAAAAACATAACTTTTTAGCCACTGTTAAGTGTTTATTGAGTATTTTTGGAATTATGTTTAGTTAAAAAAACTCTAATAACACTTGGAGCTGATTGGATGATCGAAAAACAGATCTTTTTACTACCCCCCCCCCCCGATGCAAAAAGGGGGGGGGGAGGCGGTGAGAGATACGTTACAAAAAACATAACGTTACAAAGAAATGCAGTTAAGGAGAAGATTGCTTTACCAGTGGACCATCATCCAAAAGTGCGACCGCATCCGCCAGTTCAGTTCGGCTGAAAGTGAAGTCAGCATAACTGTTGATATTGGCCCCACCCGCCACCTTGATATTGCTTGCACTGTTGCTCCTGCTTCTGTTTCCCAGACTGTTTATTTTCAGAGTGTTCAGTCTGGATTTGACGTCCGGGGGTGGTGACGATGACTCATCAATTGGACTCTCCTCAACTTCCTCCATTGCAACTGACATCACAGAGCCTACAAAATATGAGAAATCAACAGAAAGTCACATTTTCTTAGCTGCATGCAAAATAAACACCTATTTGAGAAAAAATAAGATATCCAATAAGAAAGGAAACTGAATCAACTTTAAACAAGGAAAAAGTAGTTCAAGATTTTTAACTAGAGACAGATTTTATAATTTTGTTTTCCAAAAATTTGTATATTTTCATATATAGGACCACACGAATTTTTGAAGTGCATTCCTGAGCTCTCATTGATAAAAAAGGCCTAATTTTTTGAAAAGAAAAGAACTGCGAGCATATTTTTGAATTGTTTTTGATTTTTTTGCGACCCTTTTTTGAAAAAATTTGATCAAGAATTGCATTTTTTAGCATTCAATCAGAAAAACGTTTCCTTGGCGACTAAAGGAGTTTTGGTTGTGTTTGATTTTAAAGTTTCAATGAAATTTTAACTTTCTGTTTCTAAATGTCAACTTGACTGTTTCTATCAAGACAACAATCTGCGCGTTCTGCATGCCCAATATTGCGTCGAATGTGTCTTTTGATTAAACTTTTGTGAGAAAATCCAATAATAACCATAAAATTCCCTCCTCGCAAGCAAAAGTGATGTGATTGTTCCGAGGCGGCAACGGAATATTTACGCTCCTGGTTGTTATTATTTCTTCATATCAATTTCGGTTTGAAATAAGAATAGGCGGTTGCTCTGTAAGTTGCACAGATAGTTCCGACCACATTCATAAAAAAGTTATTTGACCTATGCTGTAATTGTGCGTAGTCTGCGGAAAGGAAAAACGACCACTCAAAATTTTTTCAGAAATTTTTTCAGAAACAAAAACTGAAGAAAAGTTAAGAAAAACGTTTTATTTTTTGTTGTTTCTTTTTAAATTAAAAAAAAAAATTTTTATTGACAAGAACGCGGCAAAAAAAGTTAAAAAATTTAGAACTCGTAAATAGAAATTTTTTCACTGCTTATGTAACTGATTTTTCTTTAACAAATTTACTCACTTAAGAATAGACTGTAAACAGGGGCGGATCTATGATTTTCTCGAGGGGGTGTGGACTTTCAAAAATGTTTCGAAAACTTTGTCGATATTTTTTTTATTAACAATTTCGACCAAATTGATTTTCCGAGCTCTCCCAAATCACTAAAAAGACTCTGTTATGGTCAAATTTTCTGCGCTGCAGTCAAAATTTTGAAGAAAAAAACAGGCCAAAAAAGTGCGTTTTTAGGCTTTTTTTGGAACATATGACCACAAAATCGCGTTTTCTCGGTGCGCGCTCCCCCCTCAAAATTAATATATATTGGCGCCGAGGCGCCTTAAGAAACTTTTTACGGTCCGTCACCAAATATGGATATGTCAAAACAGTGCAAAAGGGGACCCATTGGGTCGGTAGGGGGTCCAATACCTGAGAGAGGGACGTCCTCCCCCCTCCTAAATCTGCCCCTGACTGTAAACCAAAATTGTCAAACAGGTTCTCAACACTGAGCAAAACTTTTGAAAAGTTTCCAATGTGGCTCGTATCATGAATTTTAGCTCTACAATATACATATTTATTGATTGTACTTGATTCATTTTAATGTTTAATTGTTATAATTGATTATGAGTAAAATAAGAAAAAGCCTAGAAAAACTATAACGCAAAGGTAACGCAAATTGTTTACTTTTTCTGCTCTCAAAATTCTACTCTCAAAATTGCATCAATCACGTTCGAAGAAAAATGCGAAAACTAGATAAGATTGATACCCCAAAAATGACCCCAAGTTTGCTATGAAAAGAGGTCTGAATCTCAAAAAAAAACACAGTTTATCACCCAAACTTCCTGAGTAAAAGTGTTCAAGACTAGCAGACAGAATAATAAAAAATACTCGTATCGGCTTGTTTCAAGCTGTTTTTGTTTATTATCCAAAAATAAAGCTTTCCTGCTCTGGAGTTCTATGGATATATATCGTTCAATTTTAAGTTTTGATGTCAGTATCTATAAAAGTGGAAATCATTTGATAAATGCAAAATAAAAAAGAAAAACTCGTTAACGTTGATTTTGAATTATTTAAAAGAGTTTTTTTATAATTGTTAAAACAATGGATTATAATTGATTTTCTTAATCCTTTATTGCTGCCGGAGGGCAATATGCTAACTGATTATATTTTTCACCTTTTAAACCGCAAAAACCTTTGTATTCGATTTCTTATGGGTTTTCTTAGATGCGGTTTCTAGACTTTCATATCGATGTAAGTTGTCTCTAGCAGAAGGGGTAGGTAATTTTTAACGTGAAGTAGTAGGTACTTTTTATCCAGACTCAAAACGCTTAGCTACGGATATCTAATTGGTTCCACATTTGCATGGCATTACGAGGCCAAACTGTGCACTGTATATGCGCACCACTTAGCGTCTGGATGTCAATGGAATCGAGACACATGTTCTTAATTTCGATCAAAAAGTATATGATAACTACTTACGAAATTTCTGTAAAACTTACGGATTCCGCGTACAACTACCTGTAACTTAACTTTTGTCGCCCATTTGATTCATCGCGGGTCCCGCAACAAAAGTTAATTGGTAGTTGTTCTGCTCTCCGCGAGTCTAACAAAATTCTGCAAAAAAAGGATTCCACAACTATTCCGCAATTGTAAGGGGATTCCGCAATTTTGTTTAATCAACCGAACTAAACCAGTTTTTGTGAAAAGTTGAAAACCAGAGCGAGATTTATTATCTAGCATTGTTGGAAGCTGAAAGAAGTTGTTAACCATTTCCAGCGGAATTCATGAACAAATCTTGAACCATTGCTTAACTAGAATCGTGGATGTACCACTTTAGTGTTTGGAATAAATATCCCAACAAGTTGTTTTGGGGATGATTATTTGGTTTCATAATATCGAATAGGCAAAATCTTTACTTGATATTTGCGAGGTTGGGTTATTTTTTGATAATGGATATGTGATTGAAACTCTAGGTTTTGACCTATTATTCTGTTATTCTCTAAGTATCAGCATATAAAGATATCATTTCAAAATGTTCTCGTTCTAATCTTTAAATTCTCGTCTCTTATTTTGAATGTAAATGCTTTTAATGTTTGCAATAGAATAAGAAACTTGCAAAAAAATTGAAAATGTTCTAATAAAGGCCACGTTGAAATGAAGTTTTTTCATGAAGAATCCATGAATTAGCTTGTTTCAGTTCGTTTTTCCGTGTTTCAGTATATGAGATTGGAGACGTGTTCAGAAGAAAAACATCCTTTGATCGCCTCCCCCAAATACCAAAAAGAAAAAATTCTTCTCTTCAACCACTTTTTTAACTGATCAAATAATTTGCTTCAACCCAAACGGTCAGTAGCGGATTTATGGGGGGGATGGGGCGGACACCCTTTTTCTCAGGGTTTCGACCCCCTGCCGACCCAAAGATTCCCCCTTCGTACTATTTTGAAATAAACATTTTTGGTGACGGACCCTAAAAATTTTCTAAACGCGCCTTCGGCTACATTATATTCTAATTTTGAGGGGGGGGGGAGCGTGCGCCAAAAAAACGCGATTTTTGGTTAAAATTTTCCAGAAAGTGCCTTAAAACGTCGTCTTTGGCTTTTTTTCAAAAAATTACCAGCGGCGCAGAAAATCGGGTCAAATTAAGGTCTTTATAGTGATTTGGAAGACCTCAGAAGCATAATTTGGTCGGTCTAAAAAAAGGACGACAAAATGTTCCACGTTTTTTTGAAGTC